CCAGGAGCAGCAGCCATTACCCACTTCTCCAGGGGCTGCAAGGGTAGCCCCCACTCTGGGTATCTTGTTTGGCTCTGAGCCGCTTCTTGCCTTGTCGCCCCCCAGTAACACCAGTCTCATCTTGTCACTTCCTCCCCTTTCTCCTTTTTCTTCCTATCAGCAAGCAGAACAGGAGGAGGTATATGGCCTACTGCAGTGGGGAACAGGAGAAAGGAAGAGTGATTAAGTGGAGCTAGAAGGAATCACAGAGGGGAAGGGCAGCTGCTATCCAGGGATTAGGGAGCAGATCCAGTTCCCAAGAGATTCAGACAAAGAAAAAGTGTTCCTGGTAAGGTCTAGAAAAGGGAGAGATACATGTCCTCACTCACAGCTTATGCAAGCCTCCTACAGCCTTTCAAAACCCTATGGATTCCCACCTACCTCTAGTATGCCTGCCTGCCCAAAATGCCCTGATTTGTCCCAGTTCCCTTTGCTTGATACTTCGCTGACCCTGGTACTCCTCTCTTCTCTAGCCTTGTCTGAAACTCCTCTGACTCCTAGATTATTTCTCCACAAAATGCTCTCAAAATCCAACTGTCCTCTTGCAACTGTCCTCTCTTGACAAACCCTTACCAGCCAAATATCCTATCCAGAACATCCCACTCTATCTCCCCAAGATCTTCCCAGTTCTCTTGTGGTCCACTTAGAAATTCAGTATTGTTTCCTGGAGGCCTTAAATAATTTTGTAACTTGTGCCAGCGAGAAAAAATTCAGTGTCTTAACCTGTCCTTTAATGAAAGGATTGCAAGGTGCTGTGGCATATCTGTAATTAGAAAGGATTTAGCAAGTCCCTGGTTACTGGACTCACATTAGGATGTCTATGAAAGGTAAGAGACTGTGGTAGAAGGGCTCAGACTAGATGATTTAATGGTCCATTTCACCTTATTCCCCATGAATGTGTATGATCAGGCAGAACAAATACTTACTTTTTCAATGTGAGCCAGGTAAAAGTCAATGAAATCCTGCAGTTCGTCTGGTCTCCCACGCTCCACATGCATTCTGATCTCCCTCCTTGTAAAAGAGCTCAGGATATCATAACAAGACAACACTTTCTTATGAGGACCAGGGAGACGGCACATCAGCCAGGGGAAGACTTCATACAGCTGCAGGAGTGACACAGAGGTACCACAAAGTCTCTATCATTATAAAATGCATTTTAGGCCTACTAAAAAGAGAAGGTAATGTTCCTGTTAGCATGTGGTTTTGCATCATTAGTAAAATATTCTGGCAAAGGCTACGCTTGTGTTTTCAAGTTGTTAAAACAGTACACTATATAATTTCTAGCTGTGTTGATGGTAAGATTCAGAGTTCCACAGGCTTGCAGCTCACCCACAAGCCAAATTAGAATGATTATAATTAGAATGAACTGTATTCATTTATTCAATTATTTAATTCATGTATTCAATTACAATGAACTGTATTCAGACATTTTAAAAGTGAGATCCTGCCCTCCAGTGGAGAATACCAGGAAGGAAAAAGCAAAGCCATTGCAAACTATCCTCGCCAGGATGTGCAAAAGCAGTTAATACAACCCAAAGCAGGGGCCGGCTACCAGTGGCTGGTATACGAACTCGGTAATCCTCCAAAGCACTCTCTACTAATCAGGCTCTCAAGGGTCCTCAATAACACTTGAAACATCTGAAACCCAGAAAAGCTGAGAAACAGCTACCTGACATTTTGGAGTGCTCTCCTCTAGAAAAGAAGAAGGGATTAGCTGACACAACCAGATTAATTGTATCGTTCTCTCTCACCATTTGGGAAAATCTGGCCTAAGAATAGCTGCTTTCTACCTACTCTGATAGCTAGAAAGTTCATTCTAATTTTCAGCCTATATTTATGCCTGGGTAATTTGTATACATTGTTCTTGTATCTGCAGTGTATTTTCTCTTAATAGTTCTTTTCCTGCTCAAAACACAATCCCATTATTTATTTATCAGCAGAAGTTCTATCCTTTCTCAGTCTTCATTTTGCTGAGTTCTTCTTGTACTCCCCTAGTTACACCACAGAAAGCACGTTATTAGGTGTTCACTGGAGTCTGGCTGAATTAGATAGACTATACTTCTGTCTTTGGAAAAATCAGTTCTTATTGTCAGACATCCAATTATCAATTAATCATTGCCTTATCACAGAAAGGTTGTAGTCCAGCCCTTGATAAATTCACATAGAACTTCATATCCTTTTTGTTTAGTTCCATCTCTGTTTGTTTTTTTTTTTTCTTTCAAAATCTGTTCAGGAGCCTTACATACAAGTGTTGTCTGACTAATCATATGTGGTTGCCCAGATTACATGCATTCCTACTCTCAAATGCATACCTTTTCTGGCTACTATGGCACCCTAACTGCAAGTGGAATTTAGCTGTCAACATTCAAGACAGGAACTGAGCCCATCCACCTTCCTGGCCACTGGTCCTGCCAAAACTCCTCCTCCATTTCTGGAGGGGCCCAACCCACAGCACTCTTCTGTTCAGTGCCTGACAGCATGGAATCCAGTTAAGAAATGGGGATGTGGATGCAGCTATGCGGACTAAAGCAAAGCTAGGATAGGAAGAAGAAAAGAAGGTATATTCTCTATCCCAAAAGCAGGTCTTGCCTGCCACCACTACACACAACTTACAGGACCGAAGCTAGGCTAAAATAAAAGGGAACCTGATCATAACTCAGTGAGAAGAATGCTCCATGGGATGTGGGGGGAAATCTCTGTATTACAGGGATTGCTTATGTGTTTTACATTAAGAAGCTACTGGGACAACTTTAAAAGTGGAACCAGAACCAGAACTCCCAGGCAACTTTGAATGCACTTCTGTGCAAAGCAGGCCTCTTCTAGTGTCAGATAAGTCCTTGAGTCTCAGAAGAGTGCCAATCATTTTGATTGCCAAGCTTACAGGTGTATTTGCTGGCCTAGCATTTCCCATGTTCTGCTGCCTGCATCTAGAGCTGCTTGTCTCTCAGGGTGAAGGAGTGGATTTCTCTCGGAAGTCTTCAAGTCTCCACTTCTTATAGAGGAAATGGAGATAAGTAGCCACAGGCTAAACACTCAGGTATTTGAATCATTCTTCTCTCTGTTAACTGTACATAAAACAGTATCTAAATCTGGCACGTGAATCACACTTTTAGACCTGACATTTAGTATTTAACAACCATGATGCCCAAGGTAGGAATCTGTTGCACATGGGGGTTGAGAAAACAAGTAACAAACATGACCCAGGAGCAGTCCATCAGCTTGTGCCTTGCTGCAAAGATTTAGGAGCAAACTGCCTTATCACAGTACTCAAACATAGAAAAATGAACCCAAATGACCAAGGCTGGTATGTAGGGCATTACCATCACACTTTGAGATAGTGCACTGCCCAGTAAAGCTGCATGGGACATCACTCACCCATTCAAAAACTTTTGCCTAACAGCTACCTCTTCAATCTGCATTTCTCACTTTCTGTCTTATTCAGAAAAAGACAACAGATTGTTTACGTACATGATGAATAAAGCTGCCTCCAAATTTGAATATATGCTCTGTGGCTCTAATCAGTTCACGGAAGGTTTCATCCTCTCTGGAGAAGCGATGTCCAAAAACAACAGCACAAATTACGTTTGACACGGAATGAACGAGTGGGAAAGAAGGATCCAGGGGTTTCCCTGCAACCATAATAATAAATATCATTGTTAATGTCTGCTATTCTGCTTTAGTGAAATGAGAGAATATTACAGGTTACCCAAAGAACTTTCAGGAGAGCATTGCATTTCACAGAGAAGCAGCAATCTTCTTACAAAATTGTAGTACCAAACTGATTCTTCACAACTATGCTGCAATCCCATAATCCCAGGGATGTGTGGTACCCTAAAGAAATGCCAGATGTGTGAAATATTTCATAATACGATAGAACAAATTTAGAGTTAAGAAAAAAATATATATGCAAGTTTGCTGCCTGGCAAATTCAAAATAGGTCTCAGGCATGGGAATGGCTGAAAACACTGTGGTCAAAGGAAATCTGAGGGGAGAACCATTAGAAGAGAGGCAGCCTTATTCAGCAAGAACATAAATACATGCAAGGCTACTACATTTTGCCTGACCTTGCTAGACATGTACAACCTCCGGTAAGATAAAATTTCATGAAGTCCTTTCAACCAATTGTGACAACAATATAATAACTAATTTTAAAGCAATTACTTGAAAATCTAATCTCAAAAAACCCTATTTTGTGACTCCAGAATAAATGACTATAAACAACTATATTTATGTATATACTGGTGCAGCTGTCCGACACCCAATGCGCAATTCTGATTAGCAACTTATTGTTCTGGGCTTTTCTTTCCAGCACACGTGGTCACATCTTAATCTCTCCTAGTTCTTAAACCATGGGAGTGGGCTAGATGTAATTACTTGTAATTGATACAATGCTAGCCACAGCATGTCCTGATTTACTGTGCCTTTGCATAATGATCAGTATTGGGAAATCCAACTCACATGCTCCTAACTGGGTTAATCAGGATAAAACGTTGTAATGAAGAGAAGATTCTAGTCACTGCTTTACAGAGTTCGTGCAAACAGTGTTACAAGACTTAATTCAGCATATCTTTATGCACCAGCACCACATACGAGCCATCAATGTGCCCTTGAGGTAAAGGCGGCCAACATCATCCTGGGCTGCATTAGGAATGGCATTGCCAGCAGGTGAAGGGAGGTGATGCTTCCCCTTCGATCAGCACTGGTGAGACCCATCTGGAGTGCTGGGTCCAGTTCTGCGCTCCCCAGTACGAGAGAGACATCAACATACTGGAATAAGTTGAGCAAAGGGCTACAAGGACAATTAAGGGATTGGAGTATGTGATGTAAGAGAGGCTGAGAGAGCTAGGACTGTTTAGTCTGGAGAAGAGGAGGCTCAGGGAAATATCTTAAATGTGTATAAATACCTGATGGAGAGGAATAAAGAACATGGAGCTAGATTTTTCTCAGTGGTATCAAGGGAGGCAATGGGCAAAAACTGAATACATTAAATTCTGCCTAAACATACAAAACTTTCTTACTGTAGGGCTGATTGAACACTGGAACAAGTTACCCAGAGACATGGTGAAGTCTCCATTGTTGCAGATATTTAAAACCCAACTGGACTCAGCCCTAAGAAACCTGCTCCAATTGACCCTTCTTTGAGAAGGGGTTAGACTAGACCATCTTCAGAGATCCCTTTCCACTTTAAGCATTCTATGATATAAATAACAAATAAGCTCCAGTTTTGTTTCCCAATTTTAGTACTTCGGTAAGTAACTTTGAACAAGAATAGTCTCCCACTGGATTTGAAAACACAGGACTGGGGTCTTTGCATTTTCAGTCCATTCCACATAGACACTTGTCCTGGTTTCAGCTGGGATAGAGTTAATTTTCCT